AGGGGTAGGGTTTTGCATGGCCTTTGTAACGGTACACGATTAGAAATAACACTGTTTTAGTAGCGGAGCCCTTCCCCTTCAATACATGATAGCTTAGTCAAAAGGCGCGACTTTTTTGGACCGGGCTGGGGGGGGGGTTAAATTTTCGTGAGCATATTTCAACGAGTTCAGTTCCTGTCGACAACACAGACTACATCTAGCCCGTAAATACTCAGAAACACGAAGTAACTACATGTCGGGCGAGACTGCTTCGCGAATCTTTCGCTTCTTTAAGGTTCTTGGATGCTGCACAATCGCGGCCACGGTCGCCTCATTCCAGAGAGCTCGATTCTTTTGCAAAAAGAGCAAGTTTTCAAGCGTTCCGGGTAGCATGGATTGGCGTCTATCCGACTAAACCAACCCAGCCTGTGAGAACAAACCCTCGACGTCATTGGACATCGGTGGAATCCACTCGACACCCACGTACGGCGATTCCACGGCAGTCAGGTCAATGTCCACAAGCGCCGCATCCGCGAATGACAGCTCCTCGTCGCCCGACTCCTCTTCCAGGGTCTCGTTGTAGCGCAAGAATGGTTTCATAGCAGCTCGCTCAGCAGATGTCAGATCTTGTTCGCGCCCGCTCAAAATCTTGACGGCGCCGTTCTCAAAGCTTGGGAAGGCGACAATGCGAGCATTTGAAGCGAGGTGGCGCTCACAGGATTCCGGAAACTCGGCAAGCAGTTTGTCGAAGAGCACGTGCACGTGACGAAGCGTTAGCCCGTGTTCTTGTTTCTTGCTGACTGATTCGAATTTCTTAAGGTGATTCAGAAGGGTGCGTAGGCGGTTTTTGTCCTCTGCGGACAAAAGGAGAGGTGCCAAGTCTTCGTCCGAGTCGTCGAGGTGTGGTGCCAGCTCCAAATAACGTTTGATCATGGTAAATGTGCTGGACGAACGGGTGGCATTACGGAGTGCCGGCATGAGTAAATCCTCCTCCCAGAAAACTGCACGTTGTTTATCCGTCCTCAAACACTTCATTGCGGACGAGACCTTGTCGAGCAGCTCAGTGTACGGCTGGAGGTGCTTCTCGGCGGTGAGGTGCAGACGGTGACTAGCGCAACACACGAGTGGAACGTTCACCTTCTTGCCGATAGAAGCGTTGACGCTCGCGTTATCACCAACGAGAAAGCATAACTGAGATGCTTCAATTGCGTACATGTCAAGCAAGTCGTATAAAAGATCGATGGTGGCGTCTGCACCGAAGTGGCGTGTCTTGTGGGGCTTAAACGACAGCAAGTACATTTCACGCTGGGTTGCGTCAGATGAATCGTCAGGCTGCAAGGCGACAAACGTCTCCACGAAATGATATCCGTTCTCCAACCAGCCATCAAAAATCAACCCGAGTCGCTTCTTCGCCACCTTGTCCTTCATCTCTGTCGGGCGACGTCGACTAGCAGCGTAATGTACTTCTTTAGGGCCTTCGCGTTAGTGATTGGCAGAGACGTATTTTTACGCGTTATCTC